TATACAATTTATTGTAGTGGTGCTGTGGATTGAGCCCAGGGCCTTATGCATGCAAGGCAAGCCCTCTACCAACTGAGCTATACCCCCAGCCCTACCATATATTCTTATACACATTAAATTTCTATTAATTCTATTTTTAATTCTGATTAATTATATATTTTATCCTCATATTATGTGGTAGTTGCATTTATCATTAACATTACATATGGGGAAACTGAGATATGAGTAGATTACCTAGTTTTCTAAAATATACATGGCTAGTCAGTGAGCTATCTTTCAAAATTAGTTATTGTCTCTCTAGATGTGCCACTGTTGCCTAATACAGTCTATAATACCTCTTCAGGAGAAGTGTCACAGTGTAATTTCTGTAATGTTAATTGAAATCAGCAACAGTTGTAGCTTTTTTGCTTATTTCACCTTTCACAATTATCTTTTGTTAATGTGATTTTATAATTATATGACATATTTTATACTTTGTTGGTGTGTAGCAAAATATTTGTATGTGAGTATGCCTTTTCCCTGGACAAGAGTATGGAGGGGAAAACATTTTCTCAATTTCCTGTAATAAAGTTGAATTTTTGTTTCATTTCACAAGGAATTTTCAATTGCATTAATTGAAAATGTGTTTATTACTAGATGTAGATACTCATTTGCATATTTTAGTTAAGCATATTTAATCTGTCATAGCATTTTACATAGAACTGTTAGCTCACATTCTTAAAATAATTTTATAATAGTTTTAACCACTCAATGTCATAGACTATGCAAAGACTATCATTAGTAGTTGAATATATTAGGCATTTTAGATAAAGTTTTAATGCCAGCATATTTTTGATTATTAATAAGGAGATCCAACTGTCTTAAAGACTTAGAAATACTGTATTTATAAATGCCATAAAACTTCACCTCAGGTTTTCAAGAAGAACTTGGATTCTGTAAGTTTCAAACTTTCTTTCATTTTGATTTTTCAGATCGCATTCTCACAACACAATACAATCATGGATCTTGTGCAGTTTTTTGTCACGTTCTTCAGGTAATTTGCTTTTACTGACTGAATTTGTCAATCTGTTAGATAATTTATCAATTATCAAACTTTAAAATATATACTATATTCTGAATATGTATATAAATAAATACTTACCACAGAGCAGAGGGAACATAACTTCAAATATATACTTGTGCAGGATTATTTTAATGTTATACTACTAAATGGCTAATGGATTCCATGAAAATAGGATAACTTTGTGTTCCTGTCACATAGATAGTTAAATCATGCTTTAATTAATGAAATTAAGCATTTCAGGTACCACACGGATTATTTGCATTTACTAGAATTAAGTCAATTCATTTCTTTCTTAGGTAGTGTGCTAAAGCCTGTGATGAATAAGAAAAAGTATGTGTTTTCTGTCCTGAAGGAGTTTGTAACCCAGAGGTACTATAAATGACTCATAGAACCTCATTCTCCAGGACATGAATTATGTGAGGTATTAATGATAGATTCATAAAAAAGCGTTCCATAATTAAACAGTTTTGGAAAATGCATATACTAAAGTTAAAAATGGCTCTGTTGTTTGTTTTTCAACTGACATTACTTCTCAGAGCCCTTAATATGCCAACTTACAGTGCATCTTTTTGAAAGAGACTGGTATTTGCAAGAATTTTTCATAAAATGAAAACTCTTTAGGGAACATTTACTTTCATTCCCAGAACTGGGTTAGGAGAGACTGAGTTTTAGCAGAAGAATATTCATGTTGTAAGATCTTAGAGGTGTTACTTTTGTAAACATTATTAGAGATGTGTGCAGCAAATTTTGATCCCTTAGATGCCTTTATGCAAATTAGACAAATGCTTCTCCTCTGGCAGACAAAGTCCCACATCATGGCATACAACTTGAAAACTGAGTGCAGTGTGAATTATGAATCCCACTCACCAACTTAGCTGGGCTCTCTTACAGTGTTAGGAACCTATACAACTCAATTTTTGACATGTGGTAAGTTAGGCACTTTCCTAAACACTGAATAATCATTCTCTTAGGGGTTGTTAGATTCCCATACAGATCTTGAATTCCTGTTACCTTCTCCACATGGGTCTGTAAAATTATTTTCTTTGAAAGGCCAGGTAGTAAATATCTCAAGATTTGTGGTCTCTACAGCCTGTTGTACCTACACAAAGTTCTTCCTCTACTGCTTAAGCAGCCAGAGCCAGTATGGAAATGAGTGGGAGTGGTAGTGATCCAATAAAACTTTATTATAAAACATCTGGTGGGGCTGAATTTTGCCTGTGGAAATAATTTACCCAGCCATTGATCTAGCTTATGTCTGAGTACC